GCAAACTAATTGATGCAGTAGCCAAATCACTCGCTCACGGAGTGGGGGATCAAACCCGGTTCTCCCAGATTAGAGTCCGTGCACTTAACCACTGCACCAAACTGGAGAGGAGAGGAAGAATTGGGCTTGTATCGGTGGCAGAGCACATGCAAACCTCACAGTTCTGGTCACCACACCTTAAAAAGGATATTATAGCTTTGGAAAAAGTACAGAAAAGGGCAACTCGAATGATAAAAGGGTTGGAACACTTTCCCTATGAGGAAAGGTTAAAGCGCTTAGGGCTCTTTAGCTTGGAGAAAAGACGACTGAGGGGTGACATGATCGAGGTTTATAAGATTATGCATGGGACAGAGCAGGTAGAGAAAGAGGTACTTTTCTCCCTTTCTCACAATACAAGAACTCGTGGGCACTCCATGAAACTGCAGAGCGGTCGGGTTAGAACGGATAAAAGGAAGTCCTTCTTCACCCAAAGAGTGATTAACACATGGAATTCACTGCCACAGGAAGTGGTGGGTGCTACAAGCACGGACGGCTTCAAAAGGGAATTAGATAAGCATATGGAGCAGAGGTCCATCAGTGGCTATTAGCCACAAGGTATAGCTAGGGGCTCTGGGGCAAGTGATGCTCTGTCTTCTTGGTGCTTGGGGGGGGGGTCAACAGTGGGAGGGCTTCAAATGTCCTGGCCCCACTGCTGGACCTCCTGAGGGCACCTGGTATTTCTGGCCACTGTGTGACACAGAGTGTTGGACTGGATGGGCCTTTGGCCTGATCCAACATTGGCGTCTCTTATGTTCTTATGCTGGGAGGCAGGAATCCTCCTGGGTTCAGTCAGTGGGCACCACAGCCAGTGAGCGGTCCAGGGCTCTATCCTGCCTGGGTCATGTGACTCTGGGGGGGCTACATCAAAAGAAAAGCCGCACTAGGCTTCACCTGCGCCCAAACATCTAGCCCAGGAGAGGGTGTGTCGTCCCCTGCCCCAACAGCGGCTCTTCATTTGACCCAAGCGTTTTTGCAGGGAGCCACACAACACCGCAGTTGGTGCTCTCTCTCCGCAGGATTGCCCCCGGAGGAAGAGAGGAAAGACTGTGCCTGGGCAGATCCGGGGACTGCTCAGCACTGGTTCCTGCTTGGCCCCTCCCGTTTCCTGCCCTCCCCATAGAAACAGAGGTGACATCACCCCTCCCCACGGACAGGTGCATGCCCCAAGTGTGTGTGTGTGTGTGTGTGTGTGTGTGTGCCAAAGCACAACAGACACCACCAAAGCAAAGCAAAGCGGCGGAACAAAGAGCTGCTGAGCCGGTTTCGCTGAAACCAGGGCTGGGTGGACGGAGTTCAGGGAGGGAGGGAGGGAAGGGAAGGGAAGCAGAACCTAGTGGCTAGAACAGGAAGCAGCGTCTGGGAGCTGGATTCCAGGAAGGAGAAATGCAGACGTTCCCTCTAAGCTGAGTCAGTGTGAGCTAGCTCCCGGTTTCTTTAGCCTCCGGCCCGCACGTTTTTGCCTTCGCTCAGGAAGGATGTGGCTCCAGAGCAAACTAATGTATGCAGCAGCCAAATCGCCTGCGCACAGCTTTAATGCCAGGAGCTCACCAAGTAGCATCTTTGCTCGCAAGACTCCACAGCTTAGAGGGAGCGTTGGCCCTGGATAGCCCTTGATTTCGGTCACATTTCGGAAGCTAAGCAGGTTTGGCCCTGGTCCATATTTGGAAGAAGAGTACCAGGGTCATCGTGCGTGAGGCAGAGTTAACAAACTGGCCAAGCACCTCTGATCGGCTCTTGCCTTATATGCCAACAATAAAGGTTGTGACCAATGCTCCCTCTAAGCTGTGGAGTCTTGTGAGCAAAAATTCTACTTTGTGAGCTGCTGGCATTAAAAGTTGTGAGTGAGCAATTGGGCTGCTGCAGAAACTACTGTGCTCTGGAGCCCTCCTTCCTGGGCTAAGACAAAAAGGTGTGAGCCGAAGGCTAAAAAACTGTGAGCTAGCTCACACTGACTCAGCTTAGAGGGAACACTGGTTGTGATGTGACGTTGACTCTTGCCAGTTGAAAACCTCGTGGGGTCGCCGCACGTCAGCTGTGACTTGATAACCAAAAACCCCCAAAACAATCCAAAACCAACAACTCCTCTCGGGGGCTCTTTGAAGGGAACCCCCCCACACACACACACATGCTGTCTGCCCAGAGATGGCGGCTCCAAGCACCCCCAGTCTAATGCCCCCAAACTCCCTCCCTTCAGAGGAAACCCTGGCCCACCACAAGCAGTGCTCCCTCCAAGCTAAG